CTCCCTTCCCTTCTGTCTCCCTCAAACTAGACCTTTCCTAAGTGCCACCACTTTTCTTAAAGCAGTTGGGCCACCACAATGGTGGTTGGCGCGATTATGCAAATCCTTGAGCTAATTTGAGGATCAACAAAGTAATTTATTAAAATTTCATTACCTTTGTATTACTTTTTTTTAGAGAGTGCCGAACAAAAATTAGTAATTAATGCAAGATTTTCCTTTTTTTTTTCTCCTGAAAAAGGAAAAAAAAAAAAAAAAAGAGAAAAGAAAAGAAAAAGAAGTTACCGCCTACTACTACTAAGTTTGCTGCTTTTCATTGGGGATGGGTTTTCTTGTTTTGGTTGCTTTTTGCCTTCCATAATTGAAGCAATTGGTGGCACGCTTGTTAAATGGAGCGTAAAAGGAGCTTTCCAAATTCTAAAGCAGATGCAGAGTCCCATTAACGAATAATGTATATGTTGAGTCATTCACATGACAGCTACTCGTTACAAAATTAATGTGACAACTACTGTTAAAACCAAATTTTATAGCTCCGGAGTTTAGGTGCTTCATGCTTGTTGTTTATGGACATGGGATCATGACACTTCGACACGTGCTGTTCTTTTTTAATTACCTTTTTAAACTTTTTAAATTTCTTTTTAATTATCATTCTCTAAAACTAATGCAACATTAATTTTTATACTAAACTTTCATTCAATAGTTAAAACGACGCTAGTTGAAAGTGCTAATTAAGTACCTATGAGTTGAAATTAATGTCACCCAAAAGAGTTTTAAGTGAAGTTATTTTTAAGATAAAAAAATTATAAATTAATAAAATTAATCAAATCAAATACAATTTAAAACATCAATTATGATAAAAAGAGTAACTATTTTTGTCAATAATGCTAAGATAATAAAACTTCCTTACTAAGTTTATATTTGGGGTTGTAGTGTCATAAAGTTTTTTGCACAACACCACATTAAATGTATTAATTCAATATACTTAAATTAATTTTAATTGATATTTTATATAATTTAATAATTATATCAATATAAAACACTTTTTAAAATAATTATCAAATGATAATATAATTTTTGTGATACAAAATATTTAAAAAATTATAACTACAATACTTTACAACAATTTTAGTCGTAGGTTAAATCATAAAACTAAACGTAAAATTCAAGAGATTTAGGAATGGGTACCCCTTTTAGGCTTAAAATAGTAAAAAAATAAAAAATAAAATATCAACCCTGAGAAAATCTTCTATCCTAGTTGCTTGTCCTACTCTAAGTCTCTAAGGCGAAAAAAGTTGAGGGAAAAAAGGGTTGAAGGTTGAGAAAAATTTTCTACCCTCCTAAAAAGATTAGAGAAAAATGATTGAAGCACTCGAAAATTGCGCAAACTTGAGACCCTAGCTAGCATGATACAGTCAATCACATGCACTTTCATATAATTTTTCCGATTCTATTCCCCATAAAAGATGGTAGTGATGAAGTAAACTTGTTTGATTAAGGTTTCAAATAATTGAGATTTTGTAACAAGATTTCATAATTTTTTTAAAAAAATGTATTCCCAATTTTGGTTTTTTATTTTTCCTAAAAAAAGATAAAAGGTAGATGAACTATTACTAGTATTAATTTTTTTTTTTATAAAAGTAATGATTAGTAAGTTAATATTGTTAAATATTAGTAATTGAGGTTTCGATCTTTAAACTGGGTTAACAACTCACTTACTTTAATGAGACGCGCTACCATCAGTCCGTTTGGTAGAGTTCAAAAGTATTACTAGTACTAAAATCACGTTGTATTCTGTTCCAGTCTAGGGAAAAACAATTGAGGTTCAATGAATTGATATATAGATTAATTAGATTCCTTGCTAGAGATCCTCCAATCTAATTAAATTAGAGAAAGAGAGGAACTGTTCATCTTGAAATTTGCATGTGTTTTGAATGAAGAAGCTTTCAAAGACTGACCCCGAAAGCAAAGGACTTATGGCATAAAGGAAATACTCTCGTCCACATTTTGGCAGCAGCATGAGTAGTTAAAAAGCCAAGCTTTTTATAAATTTAGATCCACTGATTTTTCTTCTATTGAAGGTGACACGTTGAGTTGATTGATGGAAGCTTTTATGGAGCGTGGTGGGAATAAAATAAAACAGTCGCTCGCTAGGGGAAATATTATAGGGTTGTTTATTATAAGAATTTTTTATTTTACAGTTTAAATTATATTAAATTACAAAATATAAATTATTAAAAAGAAAGGCAATTTGAATGGTTCGTTTTGATCAATTGACATTGGATCCTAGGTTATGGCTATTTACCTCTGTGGGTGGTGTGTTTAAGCCCTATGAAACTCATTTCTTCCCTCCTCATATATATTTGTAAATAATGTCAAAATTATTCAAAAGAAAAAAAAAAGAGAGACAAATTTTAATATTGGAGGACTAATGTAAATTATATAATTTGAATTATAGAAAACTTTTTAATTAATATAATATTTTCTCTTAAGCACAACCTTCATTTAGTTGTGGTTAGAGAAAAAACATCCATACTAAGAATAACAGATTTGCATGAAATTACTCATGATCTCTTTCTTGGATATTAAAACTTGATCAACAAATTGGAAGTAAGCATTTTTATTAATCAATCATAAGCAGATCCCTTTATTAGATTTTTTTTCTCAATACATCTAATTGTGAGTTAGGATAATCTCTTACAGGTAAATTTTTTTTTACAATTTTTTCAAATACTTTATATATTATTTAATGATTAACTATATTTTACTCTATTAAAATTTATAATACTATATGTATTTACTTATTTAATAATATTTAAAAATTATAAATAAAAGTTATACAAATAAGTTGTATATATATATATCATTACCTTTTTGAGTTATGTATGGGAAATAACGCTCCCCTCTCTCAAATTCCTCTATGTTGATTTTCAATTTAGAGAGATTTGGATTAACTTTTTAGATGCGAATAATAATTAAAATTTAACAAGTTAATAATTATTATTATTTATAATTTATAATATTTATTTTATTTAATTAATATCAACAACTGACAATTATTTTCAAAACACCAAAACAAACATAAAAGTTGAGACCTTCAATTTGGCTTTAACTAGATGAATAAAGGTTACTGTTTGAATAGTGCAATTACTTGGTGAAATTGAATTTGGAAGGGAATATTGGCTTTTGGTGGGCGGTGGCAGTATTGTTGGAGAAAATTATTACTTGTGGCTGACTATTGACCACCTAAGAGCTGAAATTCCTTCCTTAGCACTTAAGAGATCCACATGGAATCCAAAAGAGGAGTGTTCTTCCCTTCTTCTCTTCCTCCTCTTCCTCTCTCCTTCTTTGGGTACAAAGAAACAAAAGAGTGATGGTTGTGACTGCTCCTTTTGCTGCCCATTTGCCCAACTCATGTCTGTGGGCTGTCTAGAAACTGGGTTGAGCACACAACTGTTTACAGGTCCAAACCAAAACTCAAAACTGGTGAAGACAACTAATTTTCTTGGACTGGTAACGTGCCCAGCCTTAATGGATGCACAAAGGGCCATAAAGCCCAAAAATCACCAACCTTGTTTCATCTCATTTGAAAACCACAATAACCAAAGGACCTCTACTATTTACATATAAATTTTATAAATTAAATTTATATAAAATTTTAAATATTATTTTTTTACTTTTAATAATTAAAATTTATTTATATTTATTAAAATAATTATTTTTTTACTTAAAAGTTATGATAAATCTCAATAATTAAAAATAAAAAAATAAATATGATACATAAATTTTGTATATAAATAAATCTTTTCTCTTCATAAATAATGAGATTTAGAGCTTTAAGATTATTTAAAAATAAATTAATTTTCTTAAATACATGTGATTGATGTTGGAGTATACTTCTAAGAATACTCATAAAGGAATAAATTTTAAGTGGGTAAGAGTTTATCTAAAAACTTCCTAATAAATTAAGAAATAAATAAATAAATAATGAAATTAATATTTATTAATTAAATTTAAAAAATAGACAAAAAATTATATTATTTTAATAAAATATAATTAAAAAATACTTTTTACTTAAAAAATAAGATATTTTAACTTTTTTTCAATTGAAAGTGTAGTAATAAATATTTTTCTCACTTTAAAAGTGATTCAATTATTAAAAATTTAATATCTAAATTAAATAATTCATAAGTAAGATAAAAATTAAAAAAATTATATCCTTTTATATAACTAGCTATGAAGTCAAAAAATAATAATAATAAACATTAAGGGCTTCATAGTGTGGTTTGATTTGAATTTTAATATTTCTTTTAAACTAATCTAATTTAATTGGTTAATAAATTTTTTAAATCAATTCAATCCACTACTATATGATAATCAAACCAATCCAATTTAAATCGGATTGGTGTGGTTCAGTTCAATTGATCGATTTTTAACACTATTAAATATGTGAGATAATATAAAAAATTTTAACATTAAATAAAAAACATAACTATAAAATAAATTAAAATCAAATCACTAGAAACATAATAAAATGCACAAATTATAAATAAGTTTTTATACTCAGTTACAATTGTAAAGATTAAAAAGATTCGAAAATTCTTTTTGGCTTTATCACCAAAGATACTAAGGATAATAAAAAATGATTCTAAATTTTAAATACAGTATAAGTAATTTTTAAAAGTTAAAATTAGTTTTTTTTTTTCTCTTAATGCATCAAATGATTCAATTCCATCTTCCAAACCTCATTAAAAGTAAATAAAATTTAACATGAATATTATTAAAAATAATTACAAGCATTCATAATTAAAATTTAAAACTACTCAACTAAATATCCAAGAATAGAAGAATATCAAAATTAGTTATATTATTAGTTTTAAAACTTTTAGAATGATATTTTTTAAATTTTAGTTTAGAGAATTAGAATATTATTTAAGAATAAATTAAAAATTTATGATTCAAAAGTATAGTCTAGATCAATTCTAAGAAATAAGATTACAGATAAATTGAAAATTTAAAATTAGAGTAGAAAGAAAAATAAATTAGAGAATATAAAAATATTTTAATTTTATTTTTTAATTAAATTAATAGAATTACCATCTTATAAAATAACAAAATTAAAATATTACAAAAGAATATTTTTTATAAGTATAAAAAATATATTATATTATTTAATTAAGTTATTTTATATTCAAATTTTATTTTATAATCAAACAATTCAAATAATTTAAAAATAAAATCATAAACTAAACTAATCATATCAATTTTAAAATTTTATAATTCGAATCAACTTAATTTTTATCAATTTAATTTAATTTTTTATTAAATTAGATCAATTTAATTGAATCAATTGGATTGTATCGACATGAACACCCCTGTTAAACATTATTCCCAAAGAATAACCTAAACTGATGCTTAAAGGAATCGACTTGCGACTTGTCCTTGTCCTCTCTTCTTTCTTGCCTGTGAAAGTTTTGTCAAGACGAAAGCAGCCCTTCGGAGATTGCAAGGGTCTATCTTCGTCCCTTAGATGTATCCCAGATTGTCCTAAAGGGTCCCCCTTAATCGCCTTCTCCTTTTCCTTCATAAGCAACTCTTTCTTCTCACCATCTCTTGCACGTAAATTCCCAGAATTTTTTTCCTTCCGTTGATTGCAGGCTACAGAGGGAGCTTGTGTAGGAATAAAGGTATTGATTTGACCCAGAAAGATGGCGACCCTTTACTCCACGCATTGTGGTTCGTGTTCTGTTGGGGGTTCCTATTCTTCGTCTTTATCAATAAATGGGGGGCAAAATCAATGGCTGGCCCTCTCTTCTTCTTCTCCATGGCGGGTTGTCCCGTCTAAAGCTAAGGTTGTTCTTCAGTCTCGCAGGAATTCCCATCTAAATGCGGTCCTTATGCAAGATGGTTAGTTTTAACTTCAATTCATTTTTTGTTGCTTCATTTAGTGGCGTTTTTGCAAGACAGGTCCAAATGTTTGAGTGGTTTGTTGTAGGCAGAATTTGTGGAAATGATTTTGATGGGAATTTGCATGTTAGGGGATTGCGAAAATGTTTAGACTTTAGACAAGATTTTTTTTTTTTAGATGAATTGAGTATGTGTACACGGGGTTAAGTTGCGGTGGGTTGGGAGTTGAAGAACGTATGATATTGCATTCAAGAACTCATTTTTCTTTCATTTTTAGTCAGTTTTCTCAGCAACCAAACAGTGAATTTATGCTGCTTATGGTAAAACTATTCATGGCCATTTCCCTGTATTTGTCCCACAAAATGGGATCCTGGGAAGGGTGAATTCACTCTTTTAGCGTTTGTGTTGGGTGGTTCTTCTCTATCTTCTAGTTTTCAGACCAAAAATCTCGGGGTAATGGATGCATTATCTCTTGGTTAAAAGTTCTCCTTCCAACTTAGCTGTCTCCTTACGTTGTCTTTTCTGAAATTTGTAATCTTCTCGAATTTAATGTAAATGGTGATCATGCATAGGTGCTGTTGCCGCAAGGGTGACTCCCATAGAAAATGAGACACCTATGAAGAAACCAAAGGCTGCGTCCTTGTCGGTTCCATCATCTCAGGAATGTAAAGATGCTGTAGGTTTCAATATAAATGAAAATGAGCCGACTGTCAGTATTACTGTGGTTGGTGCTTCTGGGGACCTTGCCAAGAAGAAGATATTTCCTGCACTTTTTGCACTTTATTATGAAGACTGTCTCCCTAAGGTTTAGATTTTTCCTTTCTGTAATTTTGATCCAAGAGTTTAATTTTTCCTTTTAAACCATCTTAAAAGGTGATTTTTCTAATGACAATCCAATTAATTCCTTCTGTACTTGACTTAATTTGATTGCAGCACTTTACCATTTATGGTTATGCTAGGAGTAAGATGACTGACATGGAACTTAGAAACATGGTTAGCAGGACCCTTACCTGCAGAATTGATAAGAGGTAGATCCTACTTTTTTTTTTTTTTTGCCACCTTAACCACCCAGCTTCTTTGTCACTTGAAGCTTGAAACACAGAAGATAATTTAATTTTGGCTTTGTTTTGCTTGTGAACGTATTCCAGCTCAAAAGCACATAAGGAATTTGATTTTTGCTTCTTTTTGCTGATTTAAGTTGACTAGATTGTAATATATACTGTTCTTTAATCCTAAATTTTCAGGGAGAACTGTGATGAAAAGATGGAGCAATTTCTTCGAAGATGTCTCTACCATTCTGGTCAGTATGATTCTGAGGAGAACTTTGCACAGTTAGACAAGAAGCTCAAAGAGCATGAGGTAATTATAGCATGGTCCATTTAACTGCCAATTCCTTTTTTCAGCATGAAGTTAAAGCCACTCTGGTTTTGATAGTTTCATCAATTAAATATGGTGCATTGGATTTGGATATAATATTCCTCTGTCAGCATCTACAGAAGAGTATTATTTGCTAAAATAATTCAGTAGTTTTTTGTTTCCCCCTCATATTAGCTTTAATGTTTGAGTTCGAGTATGTACATTTTTATTCAAGATCTTTTAAATCACCACAATGGTTGTACAAAAGACTTTTTTTTTTTTTTTTATGAAGGTTGTACAAAAGTTGGTATCAGTAAAAACTTTTGACTTAAACTATTTATGTAATATGTTTCAGCAACTTGAGAATTACTTTTTCTTAACGGTGTGAAACTGATTGTGCAGGCTGGGAGGGTTTCTAATCGCCTCTTTTATCTGTCTATCCCTCCAAATATATTTATTGATGCTGTCAGATGTGCAAGTTCATCAGCTTCTTCTGCTCATGGCTGGACCCGAGTCATTGTTGAGAAACCTTTTGGTCAAGATTCAGAATCCTCTGCTGCTTTAACTAAAGCCTTGAAGCAGTACCTGGAAGAGGATCAAATATTTAGGTAGGGCTATTTTATAGGTTGTTAGTGTTTGTCATACAGAGATTGTTGACAGTAAACTAATCTGGTTGGCATTCTTTCCACAGGATAGATCACTACTTGGGAAAGGAGCTTGTGGAAAACCTCTCTGTTCTCCGTTTCTCCAATCTAATTTTCGAGCCCTTGTCGTCAAGGCAGTATATCAGGAATGTACAGTTAATATTTTCTGAAGATTTTGGCACAGAGGGACGTGGAGGGTATTTTGACAATTATGGCATAATTAGAGATATAATGCAGAACCATCTGCTTCAAATACTAGCTCTCTTTGCCATGGAAACTCCAGTCAGTTTGGATGCTGAAGATATTAGAAATGAAAAGGTGTTAAGCAAAGACATGAGTATTGGATGTGATGTTATCAGTCTGTCCATCCATTTCTAAATGCATTATTGATTAAACTGCCTGCTTATGCCAGGTCAAAGTTTTGCGCTCAATGAGGCCTTTGCAGCTTGAAGATGTGGCAATAGGACAGTACAAGAGCCACACAAAGGGAGGAGTTACTTACCCTGGCTACACTGATGATAAGACAGTGCCCAAAGACAGCTTGACTCCAACTTTTGCAGCAGCTGCTCTCTTCATAGACAATGCAAGATGGGATGGTGTGCCTTTCCTAATGAAAGCTGGCAAAGCATTACATACTAATAGGTAAATCGGGATTGATGAAGTTCTTAAAATGAACACATCCTGTCAAGGATTAAATCATTTAAGTCATGTGTGCTATTGGCATTTCTTTGATTCACAGGGCAGAGATAAGGGTACAGTTCAGGCATGTGCCTGGTAACCTGTATAACAGAAACTTTGGAACTGATCTTGATCGAGCTACAAACGAGCTAGTTATTCGAGTTCAGCCGGATGAAGCTATTTATTTGAAGATCAATAACAAGGTCCCTGGTTTGGGAATGAGATTGGACCGTAGTAATCTAAACCTGCTTTACGCAGCAAGGTAAATTTCAAATTTGATGCTATATGTCTAATCAGTTTATAACCCTTAATGTTAGATGCTTACTTCAAGCATTCTTTATTTTTCTATTTTCAAAATCTCAAACTTAGTGGCATTTCAATTTTAGATACTCGAAAGAGATTCCAGATGCGTACGAGAGACTTCTGCTGGATGCAATTGAAGGGGAGAGGAGGCTGTTTATTCGAAGTGATGAACTGGGTGCTGCTTGGTCACTTTTCACTCCTGTTCTGAAAGAGCTAGAGGAGAAAAAGATTGTGCCTGAGTACTATCCTTATGGAAGCCGTGGCCCCGTCGGTGCGCACTATCTGGCAGCCAGACACAACGTCCGGTGGGGTGATCTCACTGTAGACCAGTAACTAGGAGTACATGAGAAAGAAAAGCTTTGCATTATTTACGTTGGTGTGTTCTGCGGGGTAACCAGATAATTGTAAGCCTTGGCTTTGGTTTAGATCTTGTAATAAGCTCTTAAGCTTTTGGTCCAAATGAAACCTTTTTCTATTCAAAAGGAAAAGGTTAAACCCCCTTTTTGGTCCCTCAACTATCGTACGGACCCCCGATTGAGTCCCTCAACTCAAAAAATCCCTGACTTGGTCCCTACTGTTTACTATTTTAACCCCGACTTGGTCCCTTTGTTAAAAATCGCATGACGTGTCATATTAATTCACGGTAACACTATGACATGTCAAAACACGTGGAAGACACCA